CTTTTCAACGGCCTTTCACGAAGTTATACTATGATGCTGTGAAACTGATTCTGTACGGTAATGTGTTGTTATAACGGGAAGAGGTCATTTTCGTCTCCATGATTATTCCCGTTTGATTCAATGCGTGCAGAAAGTGGAGGCCCCTTACCTACGCACTCCACAGCATCATATGCACGCCTAGGAGATTATGATCGCATATGCAGCTTTTAAAAACTGCGTATGTTCCGGCCTCTGACCACTGTGTTTCTAACGCAAATATTCCGGAAGGTGATTCCGTTCCTCAAAAGGGAAAACTGGCAAACAGCAATTATGCAACGTCCTTATGACCTGCTCCATGAACAAGGGCTCGACAGTGCGGCGACACTTATTCCTGGGTACGTAGATACCAAAATAAAACGCTACCACCTATGACCGTCTGCAAAGAGACAAGCGATGTTGTGCGCTGATGTGGATGATTATCTCCGGTTGATTTATCGTTGTTTTGTTTCCCATTGCTTCCGTACAGAATGGTCCTACATGGCGGCTTTCCCAACCAAACACATTGACACCGCACACAATAAGGGAACAAGTGCATGATCGCATAACCAAAACATTGAAAATCAAATCGTCAACAATTACAAGTACTTAAACATGCAGCGTTCCGAACTACGAACACAGCAGCTTAACGCATGGCATGTCCGTCCATTATGAGAACATCACCTCATTAGGCTATATTCCTCTTACTTCCTCTTTGCACTCCTGTTTGTATTATCGGTCCTTTTTATCTTTTTTTCGGGCGCTGGCTTACAAGGCTCACAGTCTGAGCGTGACCTAGGACTTTGCCGCATCTTCTTCACCGTGGAGAGTGGTAGAATGGAGAATGGTGGCGGCTGCGTCACTCAGGGTCACAAGAAAAAAGCAGTGTAGCAATCCACTCGCTAGCCAATCACTGCCTGATGGCACTGCATTGCGTCCAGAATAGTTCTGCCTCGGCATTAATCACGTGGACTCTGAAGCACTTCACCTGTTGGCATTGTGTGATAGCCATTAGGAGGCGCGGGCTGGCGTCTTGCCAGAGAACCATAGTACACCGATTGGTTGGCGCATCCGCTAATCCATCGCGCGCCCCAACACGTGCCACGTTTCCCAAGAGACTGGCAGCTCTCCCACAGCAGCCGGACGCTGAGTATTTAACAGACCGAGTGGGTGGCCCGCAGTTACTGCGCCCAGACCCGAAGGGAACAGCGCCGGGCGCCTCAAAGCGCGCTTAGGTGAGTTGACTGTCACGTTTCGGCCTGCTTTGGGGCATGTATCGTACCGTAGACTTTCAGCTAAACTGCTACGGTTAGGCTGGGGTAGTGAAACAGCTGATATTGATCCCACAGCATGCTCTCACTGACTCCACGCTAGTGATCCGAATGGTAATCAATTAACTGCAGCGGTGTCCACATTCGTATATGATAGCCCAGCCTGGTTTGCATACCGTTCCACTTCATGTTGCGATTAGCGGGAGTGTCCCACCTTTCAGGAACATTTCAAAACCACACTCTAGTTAAACCTCAGGGCCAGTTACATCTCATGAAATCATTAGGTAGTGCCACTGCAGCACCTTGAAGACATAATAAAGATATCAGGTTACACTTTTTCGTGTCCAAATTACGCTGCCAACGCTCTAAAACAGAACTACGCTTCTGGTTGCAATCGCGACCACCGTCATCATGACAATTACCGTGCGCGCCTCGACTGGTGCGAATAAAAGAACGTTTGTGATTGGTCCAGCGGGCGGCAATAGCCTGTTACGGAGAAGCGTACTGGCTGAAGTTTCGACTAATGCATCACTTTGGACCAGGTCAGGCACTCAGCCACAAAGCCAGAGTGCTCCTTGAAAAGAACGACTGTGGTAACGCCATAGGCTAGAAATCAAAACCATAACATAACATTTCGTTGAATTTAAGGGGATAACAGCTTCATGTTCGTATATATTTTTGTCTGAACGTAGTGTTTTGAGCTTTCGTAGCATTTATTACTTACACACTTGAACACATCGGCGTGTTGCCAATATTACAACAGAGGTGAAATAACCTGCTTACTTGACAACTGGGATGGGAGACAGAAAATATAAGGATCATACTGTCCAGGAGCCACCGGTACAGACTGCAACTATTTCCTTGCTAGATCAGTTTTCCATTTTTCAAAAATAAAACACTTTTGCTTTGGAGTTATGGACGACAGCAATGGTATCATACACAATTACGTTGAATGTTGTACTGCTTTCCTTATCAGTAAGGAGACAGCCACTAATGGCCAGAAAGTATCACCCGCCGAGACGGAGTCAATGCCCATAAGAGTTTGTCGTGCTCAGGTTTCGGAAGGATTTTAACATTTATCGCTTGTCTCCTGGAGCCGTCCTTTTTTCAGCACCATTCGGCGCGTTACGTGTCCGACGCTTTATGTGACATGTGTTGGTGTTTAGTTGGTGCTGCGATCCTGTTGTGTCGGAGACGTTCATTGCGTACCCACTGGCCACGGGTAGTTTTGAGTGTTTTGACATATGTGTATATACATATCTATATACATACATACATATATATATATATATATATATATATATATATATATATATATATATATATATATATATCTCTCTCTCTCTCTCTCTCTCTCTCTCTCTCTCTCTCTCTCTCTCTCTTATATATATATATATATATATATATATATATATATATATATATATATATATATATATATATATATCGCACTTTTAGACTAGGTTGAGACATTTAAGCTTGTCTCTTTATAGCCCTGGGTCTTCTGCGTTGAATCTTTGGCTGTATCTTCAGCTGTCAGGCATGCTGCTGTCGCGATCCGACCGAAGATCCCTTGGAAAGTGCTGACCAATACGATTTTGCGTCCACCAGGTTTTATTAAAAAGTCAAGGAGACAATATCTGGCATCGCGCTCTGGTGGGAGACAGTGTCTGCGGTTTTTGCACCTCTGTATTACAGAACACACATGTTGGAAAAGCAAGGCAGATGAAATGTATTACTTTCATAGTGGTGAGTATGGAGTGAAATGAGATTTCTCCGCAGGAGCGGTTACCAGGAATAGAAGTTCTGACCTATTCAGAAGAATTTCGAGCAAACTGGTATATTAATTAAATTATACGCTTCTGATCTAACAATAGGTGAAAGCTCATGGGAGGTGACATAATCCCTTTAAGGAGAATGTTCTACATTTCAAGATTAGCAGCAGGCATCAGACACGATGGAATAAGCCCACTTACAACTATTGATATGCTTTTAAGGGAAAAACACTCATCTCGACAGCAATGTCTCCCTATTCCGCAAATATGCTCGTTGATACGCTATTGTTTTATCGCGTCATGGAGCGTTTGTATGACGTTAAGGTGCCTGCAAAATTACCAGTGTGAAACTGCTGTCATTGCAATCACTTGTAATGCTTCAAACTCTCCCAGAGATGGCAGCACGGTGCTAGAAGTGTTTGCTGAAGCAAATATCGTCGTGTGGTCGTGTTTTATACCGTTCTCATGGTATCCTTGCGTATTTATCCTGGAGCTTGAGAAGTTTACTTGTATTCGCATTCTCGGCTACGGTGGTTTTCTTAAGTTAGTCGATCACAAGGCCTATATCCGCAATAACTAGCCATCATGACCATATTATTGCATTATGTAATGCACAACACCATGCACCCGCCCGCGAGCGTCCCGGCGTGCAGCAGTTGTAAGGAAACTGTCCCAGGCCAGCCAATCATGAGTAGCCTGGGTGGGGGCCGCAGTCCATCGCCCGACGACATCGTTGACGTCGCCCTGGCGCCTTTGATGTTCGACAGCTCGTAAATTTGTAGATACGGTGTTTGGAGAGTTAGCATCAGCCGTTCGTGTTAGGTCGATATTGAGTTCCCCGCCCTCTGAGCCCACGTTTGGCCCTAAATTGTAACATTGAGAGGGTCAGGAGCTTTTTGCCGGACGCTAGCTCTTTCTGAGTTAAACATTTTGATGTTTGCAAGTTAGCAATCGGCCGATAATTTTGGGTGATTTGGAGCTTCCTGTCCTTTGAGCCCGCGTTTGGTCTTGAAGGGTGACCTTAAAAGGCCGGAGCTTTATGACGGCTGCTGGTTCTTTCTGTGGATGAATATTCTTACATTTGGAAGTCTAAAATCTTCCAGTAGTTTTTTGGTGATATAAATGCCACGTCCTTTGAGGTCACGTTCGGCCTGGACAGATGACCTTGAGAGGTCAGGACTTTTTGACAGGCGCTAGTTTTTTCTTTGGTGAATACGTTGATGTTTGCTAGTTCAAAATCGGCGGGTAGGTTTTCGGTAATTGGGAGCTCCCCGCGCTTTGGGCCCGCGTTTGACCCTGAAGGGTGACATTGAGAGGCCAGGCCTTTTGATTGACGGACGCTAGGTCTTGCGCTTGTGAGTATTTTAATGTTAGTAGCTTGCGAATCGGCCGGTAATTTTTTGGTGATATCGAGTTCCTCGTTCTTTGACCAAGCTTTTGGCTTCAACGGCCACATAATACTGCAAAACAAGGGTCGTTTTCGATGTTCTCGTGCCATAATTCACATTGAGTCCTTTTGCAGAGAAATCGGAATACGTCGCTGAATAAATCGCTGAATTAGCCACCGAGTTCACAGACATCGCACGTCAAGCATTTTGCGACTGATGTCCGCAATTAGACTTAATCACCACAAACAAACTGGAGGTGCCGCTAACACAGTGCTGTGAACTTTTGGTGCAACACCCTAAATCTGGTCTCAATCTCGATTTTTGTGTACTTGAAGTATTTATCGATACCTACTAGTCAAAACTTTGGAGTACTCAGTGTTCCTTTCCCCTGGGTGGCAGGATTTGCGTGACGTCATGGCGTCCTGCATTCCCTGAATAACGTTGAAAAAGTTTGCACATGTTTGCGGGCGCGAAGCTCGGAGACTAGAGGATTTTAGGTCTTAGGACGCACAGTGCAATGAACTTTGCCGCATGATCTTCAAAACGGCTCTTTCAACTCAAATCCCCGTACAAACGCGGGACAGCCCTCTAAGTGTCACCTGTTACTGGCTGCGTCCGGTACATCTGAGAATGTGCGCGAAACCCAAGCGTTAATACTAGACGTACGCCATTTTTCGCTGTGCTTGGTTTGGAACATCATTCTAGAGATTGTTTTTAAACCTAAATTCACGCCAATAATGATACATTCAGTGAGCCAAGGCTAATACAAATCGGTGGGATGCAGTCCACGCATGCTCGTCGACTAAATTGGGGGTGCTGTCTCCGCCTCACCAAAATGTTGCCATTAAATTCCTGAGATTATTTTTAGGAATGCAATTATGTTCAAGCTGCTGTAGGTTGTAAAGTTGCACCGTTACACCGTGCATGACAAATATTGTACTCAAAAGCCGCATGTAATCGTTTATGCAAGGCTTCGCAGCTAGGCGTGTGCATTTCACCGTGTGCTCCAGGATGCGTTTATTGTAGGCACAGCATAAACACATCTTGGTTGTGAACATACTCTGACGTCAGCAGGAAGACTAGTGCGCTCGCGTCAAGCCGGAGTTAGGCGTTCCAGAGCTGTTGTGCTGAGTCCTGAAGTCGAACCCATCTTTCAGAAGCAACAGAAAATGGAGCAGCTGTACATCCAATGGCAAATTTTAAGGGTGGGCCCATGCTTCCAGATAGGGAAATGTATTTTTTCAACGAGTCCAATGACATGAGTGTATATCAAGAGGGCGTCAGATGCACAGAAATCACTTCTAAGGGTGCATTTGGCTTCCATAGGCACATTTTGTCAGTCCTAGATTCAAATCGTTCATTTTAGTACAAAAATCACGTCGATAACCTATACGATTAAATGAACGTGGACAGTAAGAGTGACTTTGTCCTTACGTTGGAGAACTTGACAGAACCATTGAATACCTCACGTCACCTGCTCCTGAATCGTCACAGCTTGAGGTCTGGAAATGTGCCCTTAGGGCGAGAAGGTCGCCATTAAGAACAAAAAGACATCCCAAAATGTTTACAAGCTAACTCAAATGGCCACAGGGTACCCCTGGTGTCCGAAAATATTCGCAAGGTTTAAATGAAAATGCAAAACTGCAGGAAAATTCCTGTAAGATCTGAAACATTTTCCATCGTGTTAGGCCACCGTACAAATGATATCGTGCTCCCAAAGCCGGAAAAGTTTCTGGGTATACTATAAGGTTGTCCATGGCGCCTGAAAATGCCATGGGGGCGACAAAGCTGTGTTTGCGCCCGCACAGCCCATACGGCCATCGTTACGATGGATGATAACAAGTGACGTCATTGAATCACCATTGCTAGAAGCCTTAAATGGGCCTGCAATGGCTGTAAATATCAAAAGGTTGACTGAAATATATGCAGGGATGCTTTTTAAATCGAAAGAACTAGTCACACTCCCTTTAAGATAAAAGGGTTTCCGTCGGCCCCATGGCTCTGGCTGGCTTTGGTGCTGTGGGGACGTCTTTGGTGCCTTTTGGTATTTTTAATACTCGCGAGCTACCTTTACGCCATTTTTGTTTCTAGACACACAATATGCAAGGTACTCAAGTTTAAAGACAAGGCATTGAAGTTTTGAAGACGTCCATGCGGTATAAGCGAACATGTAGCATGTAATAGTCGGAAGTAAGCGAATTTAAATGCGTCGAAGGATGAAACTGCCGTCTGTGTGCTGCGTTTTAGCACCGTCGCGAACCACGGCCACAAAGCGATTTGCTCCCGTGTGTTGTGCTCAGGCCCGCATTCCGGTGGTTCGGTAGTAGGGTTACGCCGCGCCAGCACAGCATAACATCCTCTGTGCCCTGTTCCAGCCAGACATAATGGGGGGGGATAAGCCGACAGTAAGGGGGGGGGGGGGGGGGCAACTCAACTTTACGGGGTCAGGACCCTCACAAAGGAATGTCATTCGACACCCACGACACTATGCAGTGCAAGGCCGGCCAACACGTGATGGCACGCAAATGCTGCCGACACGGCGGCGCCGGAGAAGGGCGGGGAGGAGGCGTGCCAGCCGATCATCTCGAAATTTAAAAGCACGCCTTTGGCGTCGCAGCAATCCAATGGGCCTAAAGCATACTTCGTGCCCCCCCCCCCCCCCCTCCGTCATCAACCGATGCTTCGCCTTTAGTTTACACCAAAAAGCCTCGTACAGAATGGCACGTAAAAACCGGGCTGGCGAGATGACTCGGCGCCCTGACGTCACGGCGCCGAGCGCGGCCGGGCTGTGATGTCACGGCGCCGAGCGAGTCCGGTCCGCGCGTCGGCTGGCGACTGATGCAGCAGTGTGTGACCTCGCTTGCAGCGATGCTGGCCGTACTGCTGTTGTCTCTGGTGGCGGCCGGCGCCACGGCCGTTCGCTACCCGACGAGCGTCACCACCTACAATGGCGGCAAGACGGCCGAGTCCGGCGAGCTCATCTTCGAGGACAACTTCGACGAGCTCAACCTGGAGACCTGGCAGCACGAGCTGACGCTCCGAGGTGGCGGCGTAAGTAGCAGCTCACACGCACACGTGGGCCGTTAGGGAGACGTCCTCAGGGGTTTCACCCGTCTGACATGCTTTGGGTATTTGAATTTTGAAGCCTGTTACATAACTTCTGATGTTGGCACTAGATAAAAAACAAACATTCGTGTTCCAGAGCTTCATGTGTGCGGACGTGCCTCGTTGTGACAAACGCGACGCATCTCATCTGGATCGAACGAAACTCAGTGATTTAGGCAGGGTTTGTACTAGGTAGCTAACGTATATCTTCAGGTAAATTCTTTCTTTTCTTTGCATGTAATCAAGTAGGTGTACTTTGCCACTTTTTCATGTGAAATAGTTAAATCTAATGTAGCTTAACCAAACCAGTTCATTCCGGGGTTCCGGGGTGGAGATGGAAGCAAATCAAGGATCTCGTAGCTGAGGCGGTGGGAAAAGAGATGGAGCTATTTAAACGTGAGATAGCTTTCCTGAGAGATGAAACTCAGAAACTGAAACGGGAAAACTCCGAGCTTCGTGAAATGGTGAAACATCTGGAGGCTGCCGTCGATGAGACGGAGCAATACTCGCGTAAGTCTTCCCTCATTCTGAGTGGAGATGGCATCCCTGAGCCAAAGGCAGATGAGACAACTGAGGAGACCAGAAGTGTTGCCCTCAAGGTCATCAAAGAAAAACTCAAGGTAGACGTAAAGGGTGGCGTGGTGGCGTTCCACCGTCTGAAAAACAAAAAAAGGGTGCTGGTGAAATTCCAGGACATGGACGATCGGAACAATGTTTACCAGGCTAAATTCCGGCAGACTGATGGCCCAGGCATCATCATTCATGAAAACCTGACTGATAAGCGAGCTCGACAAGTCAAGGTTCTTGCCGATATGAAGCGTGAAAGTGACCAGGTCATGAACTTCCATACTAAAAACGGCATCATTCTGGCAAGGGACTCACGTGACAAAAGATATCCACGCATACAGCCATGGTTCACACGTGAGCAGATCATTAAAGCCATGACAGACTCACCCACACTGTCCTCTTCGGCGAACAGAAGTGTAGCAGGCCAAAATAGATTCATATACTCTCAGACCCTGAACCGCATTCCTGCTGGTCATGTGCTAAACAGGGCTGCTAATCTTGAAGAGTTTGTAACAGTTGAAGGCAGGCGGGCTGGGCCTGAGACCAGGCTCTCAAGTTCTAAAAAGTAGTGAGTCCATTGGTTAGTGACTATGATGATGAATATGAAATTTCTAAAATGAATATGATGATGAATATGATGAATCATATGATGAATATGAAAAACTAAGAGAAGCATGCACATTTTATTTACCTGAAAAGATAAAAACTGTTATTCCACATAATACCAGTGCACTAAACCTTATGCATGTTAACATTCGCTCAATCCTGAAGAAGCAGGAAGATCTAAGTAGTCTACTTGCCCAGACTGTTATAACATGGCATGTTATTTCTATATCTGAAACATGGCTGTCTCCAGCTTTGGAATCTCATTATGACTTACCTGGATACCGAGCTTTCTACTGCAGCAGATCAAAAGGGGTAGGTGGTGGATCAGCAGTATACATTGCTGATCACCTTCATCATATACAACTTTGGAACCCAGTTTTCTCTACAGCTGAAGTGGTTTGTGCTGAACTACTCTGTGATAATGCTAATCTTATCATTTGCCAAATTTATAGGTCACCCAACACTGACAAACACCACTTCAACTCAGAGCAGAGCTAGTGTGGTTCACTCTACCACACCAGCGGCAGCTCCAGGTGTCCGGCGAAGTGATGAAATGTCAACAGCTCCAGCTGTCTGCCAAGCTGATGGCCTCAGAGGCACCAGCATGGTTCTTCCGGTTGCCTCTGGACCTACAACAAGCCCAAGTGAGAACTCCAGGGGCTCTGAAGCGGGGTGTCCCCCTTTATTGGACCCTGCTGGTGAGGGTATTGTGGGTCACCCCGCTCAGGTTCCCAGGGGTTCTAGGGGCTCTGACAGGAGTGATAGCAACACAGCGACCTCAGTCACTGGGGATGGATCCGCAAATCAGCATACTCAAGTTCAGGCTGATGCTGGTTCCCCCGGTCCGCAATGACTGCATAATGCTCATCAGTGCAGGGGTAGGCAAGGTCTGAAGATATTGTACACCAATGCTGACCAGTTCCTTAGTAAAAGGGATGATTTATGTATGCTCATTTCTGATGATAAGCCAGATATCATGCTGTTGAATGAGGCTCTTCCCAAGGCCCAGAAGCTTCCTATTGCACCATCTCTCCTATCAATTTCCGGGTACACCCTGCACACAAACTTTAATGTCTCTCAGCCCAACCTTGGATCTAGTGGTAGAAGAGGCATATGTGTCTATGTGTCCAACTTACTAAATGCAGCTGAGCACTCATTTGGGTCAAGTCCTCTGGAGCAAGTGTGGCTGAAGATGGCCTTGAGTGGAAAGGATGCCCTGTTACTTGGCTGCATATACAGAAGTCCATCAGGCAACATCCAGGACAGTGTGAGCCAACTGGAAGACCTTCTTCAGAAAGCATGCAGAGCCCAGTTCTCTCACGTGATGGTTGTAGGTGACTTTAACTTGCCTCAGATCGACTGGGCAACAGAGAGGTCGTCAGCTCCAGAGAGTCACCCAACCCACTCTTTGATAGACACCATTCAGGGTTGTTTCTTGTTTCAGCATGTCCGGCAGCCAACACGCTACCGGGTTGGTGAAGCTCCTAGTGTTCTGGACCTAATTTTCACAAATGAGGAGGGCATGGTGAGCCAAATCAAATACCTGCCAGGGCTGGGTAACAGTGACCATGTGGTTATCAGGTATACTTTGGTCTGCTACTCTGGGCTACAAACCCCTCGTCCCAGCCAGCTGACACACACAAATTACGAGCATCTGGCTGACACCCTCAGGTCAATGGACTGGTCCCTGATGGAGAGCCTCAGCCTCGAAGATGGTTACAAGTTCTTCAAGGAAAGAATCGCCAGGGCCACTGAGGTTTGCTCCGTCAGGAGAAAGGCTAAAGCTAAGAAGAACTTATACAGGAACCCAAGGGCCATGCAACTAAAGAAGGCTAAGGAAAGACTATGGCGAACGTACACGCGGACTCAGGATGTTCTGGACCATGCCAGGTTTGTGCGTTGTCGCAATGACCTGCGGAAGTTGACCAGGCACCTTCGGAAAGAGTATGAGATTAAACTATTAGCAGACATCAAAAGAGACACCAAGGCCTTTTGGAGGTACGCCAACTCTAGACTACGCACAAGATGCAGGGTAGAAGACCTTTTTGACGATGATGGAGTGTTGACCAGCAGTAGCGAAGGGAAGGCAAACGTCCTCTGTAAATTCTTCGCCAGCGTTTTCACGGACGAAGGGACTAGTGCCATGCCTGTGTTACCGTGTAACTTTACTGGACCGTTACTGGATGACGTGGCCATCTCTACCCAGGCAGTGGCAAGGAAACTGGCCGCTCTGAAGTCCTCGAGAGCCCCTGGGCCAGACGATCTCCATCCAAGGCTTCTTCGCGAGTGCGCAGATGCCCTGGCAGCACCCCCCAGCATGCTTTACCGAAAATCTTTGGCATCCGGAAGGCTCCCTCTGGACTGGAAGCTTGGTGAGGTGGTCCCGATTTTCAAGAAGGGTAACCGACAATCTCCGGCGAGCTACCGCCCAGTGAGCCTTACTGCTATTCCCTCCAAGATACTCGAAACTTTCGTCCGTGATGCCCTACTTAATCACTTCTCAGAGTCTGGACTCCTTCATGCGGCCCAGCTGGGTTTCTCCCTAAGCGGTCCTGTACCACCCAGCTGTTAGAGGTTATGGAGGATTGGAGCGCCGCGGTAGAGGATGGAGAACCGGTGGACGTGGCGTATCTGGACTTCAGCAAAGCCTTTGATTCTGTTCCCCATAACCGTCTGCTCTTCAGGCTTCATGCTTACGGTGTGAGAGGTAATTTGCTACGCTGGATCAGGGCTTTTCTTACTCATCGGATGCAGAGAGTGCGGGTCCAGGGCTCGAAGTCGGACTGGACCGACGTCGTCAGCGGCATCCCGCAAGGGTCGGTACTTGGACCAACGCTGTTCATTATTTTCGTGAACGATCTACCAGAGCAAGTGCGAAGCGTGGTCAAGATGTTTGCGGATGACACCAAGGTCTACTGTCGTGTCCCGAGACCCCTGACTCACTCACCTCTGCAGGCTGACCTCGACGCCCTGGCCAAGTGGTCAAAGTAGTGGCTGCTCCCCTTTAGTGCAGCAAAGTGCAAAATAATGCACATCGGGAACTGCAACCCGAGGCTGACGTACTTCTTGGACGGTGCCGAAATCGCGGTCGAGTCCACTGAAAAGGACCTCGGGATCTTCGTGGATTACCGGCTCCAGTTCCACGTGCAGACGGCGGAAGCGATCTCCAAGGCCAACCAGATGCTGGCGGTCGTGAGGCGGTCTTTTGCCAATATCGATGCTCGCACGTTGCCATTGCTTTTTAAGATCTTAGTACGTCCGTACTTAGAGTATGGCAACGTTATCTGGGACCCGTTCGGCAAACTGGACCAGAAACGGCTGGAACGAGTTCAGCGACGAGCTACCCGGCTTGTCTATGAAGTGAGGCGCCAGCCATACCCTGAGAGGCTCAGACTCCTTCAGCTGCCCTCACTGTACTATCGTCGTCGCAGGGGAGACATGGTAACAGCGTACCAGCTATTTCATGGAGGCATGTCGCTATCGGAAGAGGAGTTCCTGACAAGGCACAACTCGGAGGTGACGAGAGGGCACCAATGGAAGCTCAGAAAACCTCGATCAAGGACTCTCGTCCGTCGCAACTCATTCAGCACGCGGGTTGTCAACGACTGGAACGCTCTTCCGCACCCGGTCGTGTCGTCGACCTCAGTTGAACAGTTCAAGGCTAGGCTTGATACACACTGGGCCGACATCATGTGCGACGTCCCACACTGAATATTCCCATAATTTGAGACTGTTTGGTTACCGGACCGGGAGCCTGACGAGACCGGGACCTA